ACTTGATTTGACTTGAAGTGCACAGCACGGCCGTACCGCTCACTTTTAAATACATACTAGTGCACACTCCTTATTTACAAGGACTGCGATCCTTCTAAAAGTTTATGCAAATCCACCAATACATCGACTTATAGAAGATATTCTGGATGAACGTGCCCAATATTACATCCCGAGCCGCATTCAGAAACGCTCTTCTAATATTGTATTCGCAACCGTCACTTTCTATCCACGTTATGCTTCCTGTCGTAATACATTTGAGCCTGAAAAACACGATGAATCAACCTTATTGCTGCTGAAATTTTTCACCATTATATTATTGGGTTGTGAATCAAAATATATTGCATAAAACTGGTTAAGTTTGCAAACCCAATCAATTTTTGGCATTTTTCGTTTATAAAAATACTAGTATGCTTTCCTGGAGACCTTCGGCAATTAAATGGAAACACTATTAACAAAAAGAAGGGTGCATATGCAGTACTAGTTTTACTGATACTCATATTATGGCAAGGTTAATCAGTGATTACGGATTATACGCACGCCTCTTTGAAGAACAGAACAGGGAAGTAACGCCATGCGGTGAACTATGGAGCTATGAAGGCACATTAATATCTATATTCCTATGTACTCATACATCGAATAGATATCGACCGATATTGGCGATATATAACGCATTGATTGATATCTCGATCCTCAAGTGCATTATCTGAGTCCTAAAATAGGACAAAAGCTGTCACTTATATCAGTGAAAAGTATTTGTGTCACAGAACCCAGCAGTATACTGCAGAAATCACTCTCGGAACGCATTTCCTAAATTATCATACTTTATATGTAATTCTTTCCGCTGATGGGACATAAAAATCTTAAACGAGATAGAAAAATACCATGAACGCCCAAAAGCAGACCCCTTGGCGATTAAGTTTAGAATTTACTCTAGCTTCTTTTCAAGTTTTTTTAATTTTGTAACCTGTTCTTCTCTGACAAAAGCTGTATTAATTTGTTTATTTTGAATGCTTAATATGTTATTTACTCAAAGGTAGGTTTGTTCTGCAATGTCTCATTGCCTTTTGGCTCTCATATTTTATCTTCTTCAGGTCGCAGATTTCTAGCAAGGCCAGGGTACAACATTATCTTAGAAGCCAAATTTGACAACGAAATTATTACCTCAGATCCAGTTTCCCACAAAGAAGAACCTAAATTTGAACAAGAACTAGCATGGGAGCTGGACAAGCAAGCCCTACGGCAACATCGGATAAAAAGAAGTTCTATAAAACTACAGCTGTTTTCAGTTCATCCTTTAACTCCTGTGAAGGAACCACTTGGTTATATTGTTCTGGATATTCGGTCAGCCAACAGCAAAAAGGTTTGGGTCCAAATTCAGCTTATTCTGTTTTTGTAGGCATTTAAATGGCTCCCTGTGCTTCACTCTAAATACAAAACATGTCCGTCCATATATTGTGGGATGTATATTGATTTGGATGGAAATGAGGTTATTCTTTCTGTTCCGACTTCCCGTAAGTGCCTTTGAAAGATTTTTTACCATGTAGCTTTGTTTTCTATAAATGTCTTTGTGCGTTTCGCGACTTTCCGTTAGGAAAGGTTTTTGACTCCTTCGTCCATTCCTAAATTGACATTATTTTCAGTAAATCTCACAGATAGATTGAACCTCTGAATTAAGTCCACAGTTACCGCACAATTATTCTTAGACACTGGAGTCTGTTTTATTAATGAATACAACCGTATGTTTACTACTTACACCCTTTTTAAATTTGTCCATTTGTCAACCGTGGCACTAAAGGTTGTAAAAGCCAGCCATATATATATATAGGCTTTTGATTTGACATATAATTTGGCAAATGAATGAAACGTCGTCGAAGAGGACCTTTAGACTGCTAATTAATAAATTCTGCTGTCTACGTCTATCAGACTCGGAACCCCTTTACCATTAGAAAATGGCTAAAATAAAATAAAATTGCAATACAAAGGGAACGAAATAGGTTTTTAACGCAATAGAACTAATTTTGCAGCCGATTTCGTCTCTTTATAATTTTTTTGCGCTCTAGAATATTTATTTCGGGCAGTCTCTTTCATTTATTTTATGGGTTTTAGTGTAAGGTTGCGATTGCTACAGTCTGATATAGTTACAAATTAAATCTTTATTCGCAATTTCAGTTTTTGGGAACTGTGGTTGCCTCATGTAGCCCCAAATGCCAATGTTAAGCTCCATAGCAATGCATAGAGCGTTAACATTATGCCTAGGCACTATATACTTCGTGTATCATTCACCCACGTACGCATGTTCTTCACAGTTTGCTTTACTTGATGGTCTACTGTAAACGTATTAAAAAGACGACCGTCAGCTCAGCGCTCACCGGTGAACTTCTATTGTACTGGAATTCAATGCAAGGAATGTTCATTTTTTCCATTAGACTTTTTACCTCTTGTACTTTACCATAAACCTTATGAGCGGCAGTTTGTCTTCTGTGTTTTAAAACATTATTTAAGAACGCTCGTGACATCAACTTTTAAACTTTTTATACACCCTAGCTACTTGTTTTCCTCACTGCTTTAGCAAAAAACGCCTTCTTTACCTGGACTTCCTGTTCTGTTTGTTATGTCCTTTTATACGTTAACTTAGTGGAGTTGTCTAAGGTCCTGTGTGATAGGCCTGGGAATCGAGTCACGATGTCACAAGATCATCATGTTTACATTTGACTATCACCAACATCTTCCAACAGATAAGCAACATTTCGGTCCTGTCTTAATTTGGAATCCACAAAAGGCAGTGGAACTCTCTTAGCCTTCACAATTACATGCTTAAAATAGCATACCCTTACATATTACATTTTTTTTCTTGACACATGTTATCAACCAAGATTCTGAAGATTGAATGGGCGATTCTGAATGTTTTGTCGTTGTCATCGTCAGCTAGCCACACTGCAACTGGGAGATGGAAAACCCTGGGACCGCACATGTGTTCTTCGGGCATTGGTAGTAGTTTTCTAGTTTGCAGTGATCCCGTATACATTCCGAGGGTTCGAGACCGCACGTTGAATGCCAGTCGTGTTTGAAAGGTCTGTCTTGCAACCAGAATATATAATATGGCTGTGAAATTGAAGCCAAGGGTAGTCAAGTAGCGTACCAGGATAGCTGAGACCAAACTCCTGTCGAACATGGCCCTTCGCCTTGGTGCTGTAACAGTCAATGTTTCCTCATCACACTGGTTCATTTGTCAGTCTGCTTCCCTATGCTATTTCATACTATTATGGGTAAGCGAAACAGCGATAGGTCGAGCCGAATGAACCCGTTTTTTGACCTCGTTGGTTTGAGATTATTTACAATCCAACTCAAACTCCAAGTAAGACCGATGCACGCCATTAAAGATATTTTAAATTCAGTATGAACCTAATCTACAAAATAAAGCGTTTGCTGACATCGGACTGTATACATTGTATGCCGGTGTTGTTCGGAACTCTTCTAGTCAAGAGGTTGGCCGACTGCCTACCTTGTATGCCTTTTTTGATCTTCGACCCATGTTATCACTTTGGCATCCAGTTCTCCGTTTAATTCAGAGTAATCGCCCGATTCTCCTCTGTACCCGACCACTGCCCTCTGAGAAGCCCTAAACTGCCTAACTAATACTATCACCAGAAGTGCTAGAATTCCTCGTTACCTATTCCGCTTAGATTCATAAAATTAGCCTTTTAGCTGACCTCTATACCATCTGTAGTTTTGTTAATTTATTCCGAGGCCTTACAAAGTCTCCACCGCACCAACTCACTTTCATTCTCGCTGTTTCACAACCATAAAACAAACTACATTTCGTGTAATGACTTGGCCCAGTGGAATGCCAACCACTAAGGTTTGTGGGAAGAAACATTTCTGAGCGATATATTTATGATACCCATCGACCTGGACTGAAGTTTCA